GATATAAATTCTTCTTTTTTTCAATAAAGTATCATTCGTTCGTTCGTCCTCACTTGATTAAAAGTACGTAGTTATCTAACTCTTCTGTAGCAGTAAACATTACTCGTGATAAAACTCAAGTGAAAATAACATTATCTATATTAAATTATTGATCATCAACTTGATATGCAAAAGACAAAAGCGTTTATGTGAGCGAATATTTGAATTTTTCATGAGGAAAAATCAACAAATGCTTCTTCAACTTCTAATAACAAATATCTTGTTTTTGTTCCTCATTGATAAAAGAAAATCCTCTGATAAACTTCTGATTTCTGAAATTTCCGTTTGTCAACCCCGGCTCGAATGCATCTCAAACTTATTCTGTTTATCTTATGACAAACTACTATCTACATGTATAAAAAGCTTTTCCAAAAACAACTCTCAAAACTTGTTGATAAAAAGACTCCCGTTGATACATAAGTTCTGCACGTTTGGATCAGTAGATTTATATTTTTAATGTAAAACTACATTTTAAGAAAAGTAACTATATATTCTGATAGCACTCGGAATTCTTCATCACCCTGTATATTTAGGTCTTGACTTGTATTTATTTGCTGAAAAATATTTCGAGTACAGTGAAGACACTCTCACCCTCATCGACAATGTTCGAAATATTTGTCGGCAAATAAGTTCAAGCTAAGACCTGAATATACAGGGTGATAGAGCATTTCAAGGACTCTCAGAATCTACAATTACTTTTCTAAAAAAACAGATTAGTGTATAGATAAAAATTTTAAAAACACATGAGAAAGGAACAAAAAATGAAGTTCGCGCGGATCTGAGGGTGAGGGTGTTTTCACTGTATTCGAAATATTTTTCAGCAAATAAATGCTAGTCAAGACTTAAATACACAGGGTGATAGAGAATTTCGAGCGCTATCAGAATACATAATTAATTTCCTTTAAATGTAGTTTTATATTGGCAATATAATAATTCTACTGATCCAAACGTGCAGAACTTATGTACCAATGAGATATATTTCAAACAATTAAAAATACTTGCGCCATCTATAATCAACTTAAGATGCAATAAATGGTCGTATGAAGTGAGCACAACATGTAAGGTCCCGAACAGACCGACTAATTCTAAGTGAATTAAAATTGAATTAACGAATAAATCGTCTCAAAAAGACGATTAAAATCGAAATAGACCAATCACGTTGCTTAATTCGTTTTATTTCTTTTAGTCTGTTCGAGGCCTAAGCCGAAGAAATGTGGTCGAAAAAAGTGAGCGCCAAATACGTAAGCACAAGAATTGATGCTCACTCTGCATAGAAATTCGAAGTCAATTAAATCTCTAGTCCTCGTTTTACCATTATCCAATTATTTTTCCTTCTTTCTTTGATAGATAGATAGATAGATGACAACATTTCATTTTCTAAAACATTCTAGATTCAATTATTAAATATAGATAATGTCGTTTGAAATGAACAATTCATGGCTTAATTTAATTAATCAATCAGTTACAAATGATAGTGATGAACGTTTCAATTTTAAATCAACTTCAGAAGGTTATTTTTAAAATAACCAAAAAAAAAAGAAATCATATCATTGTACTTTCTTATTCTAGATTTCTTTACTCGTGAAGGTGAACGATTTATGCGTGAAGATCCTATGTTACTAATTTCAAATTCTGTTCTTACGGATATAACACAAAATCAAGATCAATCATGGTCAAATGAATCAAATCCTGATAGTCCTGGTTGTTCAACAACAACTTTTTTTATGGCTAAATCATCAACACCTGGTGAAATGCTCAATGCACTTCTTGCTGGTGAATTAATTACATTGAAAAACTCTTTTTTTTTTAAACGTTTTCTTGAAGGAAAAACTGATGGAATTGCAACAAAAGAAAATCAACAATCAAGATCTTTACGAAATATTGTTACTGGATGGAATGAACCATCATTACTTAATAAAAAATCACATAGTGGACTTAATTTACGTCAACAAAAGGATTCACCTTTTAATGAAGTAAATTTCATGACTATTGTTTTCTAAAGTTCTTTTATATACAGGTGGACATAAGTTTAGAGCAGTTGTATTTTTGAGTTTTCTTCTTGATGGTAATAGCTAGGAAGATTCTAGAATATATTTGAAGCTTTTGGAAAATAGTTTTATTTGATAGAACAAAATGAGATGTCTCGACTTCCTTCATCGAACTACATTCAATTTATAGAAAACCTTAAAGCATCAAACACGGCGAAATTATTGAAATTTTTTATAAAACAACAGAAAAATATTTCTTGTGTCTTCTATAAAAATTAAATGCAACTCGGCGAAGGAAGTCGAGATATCTCATTTTGCTCTATTAAAAAAACTATTTCAGAAAAACTTCAGATAGATGCCAGAAAACGGATTTTGAGAAGTTGTTGGTTTTTCAGACATCTTCATCCAAACAGTTTTATTTGAGTTTTTAGGTTCACAAACTCTGATAGGGAATTATTTTATCTACTCAAATGTCTTTTTGGAAGTCTTTCTAACTATTATCATTGACAAGAAAACACAAAAATATAATTGTTCTAAACCTGTTTTTTTTCATCACTATATACATATATGTATTTGCAATAGAATTGCAATACCATTGTTAAAAAATCCA